CCTTCTTTTCATGGAAATCATTGGTCCACATGTTTGGCAGGTTAATTAAACCGTCAAGGTGGGTCGATGTGTTACATGTACGAAGTTTATAGACTCCCAAGTCCATGGGCCCTCAAAATTTCCTCCAGTCTCCGCAGTGAAATCTAGCGGACAAAGTCGTAACCAATGTCTAGTGAATGGACCGAAAGTCTTCTTGTAGGTATGTACAGTGTAAATGAATTTGAAAATTAAAAAATAATATGTAATTCAGTAAAGATGAGTTTGCACAAGTCTATGATATTTTATATTTTTATACACGTCGTATACAAATATAACGTCGTGTATGAAAATATAAAATGTCATAGACTCTGAAATGTTACGTGTACTTACTGATTCCGAAGGTGTCCGTTTCGACAAAAGTTTTCTTGCAAAACCCAGTGGTGCAGTTGATTGTGGTGGTTGCCGTGGGTTGCTCCTCGCACGCACTGTTAGTGCTTAATGGGGAAGAACAGTATATGCATGTCAACCCTGCACCTTAAGAAAAAAATACTATTTATGATCCTATAGTAACATCTCACAGAAAACAGCTCAACTGATTAAATTTTATCGGAACATTCGATATTTCTAAGGTGGGTTTACTGTTTTATATTGTTTTATAAGTGGGTGTACTCTTGATGAAAGGAGGTAATACTAGAGCCAGACTGGCAATTAAAAAATATCTAATTAAGACGCTTTGATTAAGACGTTTGTACAAATATGATACAAAATTACACCAAAACAGCAAATAACGTGAATTTACAAATACGTAGAAGAAGATAATTAGATAAACAGGATTAAGTATAACAAAATTTAATTATATCTAAAATACTTTAGGGCAGTTTACCAACAGGGTGGAGTACACGTTGGACCCTAAGAGTAGACCTGGACTTATAAACATTTTTTATCGACATACATGTCCTTACAAAGGTGGCTATAAAACTGATATTTTTATACAACAAATATAAAATCGATCTTGAAAGAATGCCAAATATTGCAGTGTTATTATGGCTTTTATCGAGGCTTCTCTTGAAATAAAAAATGTTCATACTTTTATTTATCTTTTACTGCACTTATTCTTCACGATTTACCCTTACCAGTTTTATTTGAAGACGTTATTGGAAGTAAAAAGGCCTCATATAAATAACAAATCTTAGCTATGAGAATGTACTTACTCAGAGAAAATGTGGCCACCAAAACTACACAAATTACTTGTAATGTTGTCCTCTCCATGTTTCCCGAGTCTGTGTTTTGGAACAAGTGAAAAAAGTTTTAAGGCACTCGTTCCCGTATCGTGTCGCTATGGATCACAGTGTTATTAGTTTTGGTTACACACTCCAACTGAAGAGATGCGACCAGCCGTAAAAAAATGCTTATTATCCAGTTTTGCTACATGTACAATAAGTCATGCTATGGTTACCAGCTGCCGGACATCGATTCTTGTCCTTTATAAGGTTAAATCCTGTAGGTCTTTTGTCTTCAGCAGGTTAACATGTTTGCTGTGAACCCGACGAGGTCAGGCGAATAAAATATTGAATCAAATGAATTGTGATTCTTGTTAATGCAAATTTTGCGCAACAGTGGATTTAAACAACCCGATTTTGTATTCGGCCTAGCTACAGGCAGGGTAAGAACATGTCATAATGGAAAAACCTGTAAAGATGATTAAAAAGAGTATTTATTTCTTCAATTATGTGTCTACCATTTTGTGAATTAATGAAGTCCATACGAAAAATAAAATATTGGCGTTAATATTTCCTGTAACTAGGGTCTGATATGGGATTTTAGGAGATTCTGAGTCAGGTGGCAGCAGTGGTGCAGTCACGTATCATACACCCAACACACCCTGCTGATTCCTTAAAGAAGCATTGAAAATTTAAGTAAATATGTGAAAAAAATATATATATATTTGCAAATTGTCGAGATGGAAATTAATGAAAATTATGAGAAAGAAACTCGATTCAAAACCATTTTCAAAAAGAAACCAAAATAGTTATTTAAAATTAAAATCACTCATTTTCAGAGATGTGATGCCCCAGCAGGTACATGTATGATTTGATGGCATTTCTCAGTGGGGAACCTGTTACTGCACGGCCGCGTATTCGGCGAGCGAACATGTAACAATGAAGTCATCCACATGCCATCCCTCGCTTTTTATTGCCACGGTATTGTTATTTCTTGATTCATTTATAATATTTAATTGTACATCAAAATGTGCTGTTTTTATTTTTGTTAATCAACAGACGTAACTATATCGGTTACATATAGTCCCTGATGTTTTGTTTAACTTATATTGTATAAGTGCATGGCATGGGACGTGAAGTTCAATAAGATTTATTGAAAGATTAAGCGAGTGCTTAAGGTCACTCGAGGTCACTTGAGTGAGGCATATATAATGCAATGCTGTAATAGAATATTACGTACGTGAAAATGGAAGGCGTTATTTGAAACCTAACAACCAGGCTATAACTTCTTTTCCAATATCTTCCAAATTTTAAACCCAATAAACAGCCGTCATCGTCTAGATGCAAAATTATGAGAAGGAAATTGTGAGAGGTATATGGAGGAAATGGATATTCAAAGAAAGGAGCTAAGGACAGAACGGCGTCAGAGAATTATCCTACATCCTCACTACCAGAAAAAATGACAGTCACACGCGTACAATGGGTAGTCTTGGGGAGTGGGGGTGGGGATAGGAGTAAGGGGTGCGTATCGGACTCACGCACCCCCTAGTCTTTAGAGTCGATTCCTTTTCTACCCGTTCCCCAACAGTTAGCACGGTTAAAACTTTTCTCTTCCCTGTTTTATATTTTCCGTAAGCCAGCCAATTTAATTCATATTCGTGCCCACCCCCCCCCCCCCC